CTTTATGCAAAAGATGTAAACGCGGTAACGACCACCTCGAGTCGTCTTGATTCTGAACATTTTTGTCAAAGAACACGTGTTCAACAACAACGTAAATATTTATGGACGACATTTTCTTTATTCTTTCCAGCTGAGGCAGACAGAGCAGGAGGTGAAAGAACTGGAGTGGGAGTTACAGCAGGAGAGGAGGAGACGAGAGGAGGAGATTCATCAGGAGCTCCAGCAGGAGGCGCTGCAGCTGAGTGAAACTAAAGCTGAGCTACAACTGATGAACCACAGGAACTGTGAACTTGAAGACGAGGTGAGTGTGTGTGTGTGTGTGTGTGTTCTTCTTCCAGCCAAACCTCTCGTGTCAGATCTGGATTGAATTTAGTTTGAGTGACTGTGGTCACAGCCCGAGGAAGACACACTGATGTTGAAGTGAATTAAATTAGTCTGCAGCAGCTGAGCTCAAATAAGACGTTTGTTAAAAAGACTTCACGTGAAACAGAGACTAGAGCGCCCTCACATGGACATAGACTGTTTAACCTTCCATGACGGGAGGTGACGGAACAGAGACATAAAATACAGTTCAGTAGAACAGAATATAAAAACAGCCTAGTGGACAACAGGTGAACTGTACGGAAAGGATGGGTTTTGGGTTGAGGGTGTAGGTGAGGTAGAGGGGCGTGACAGACGTCCAGTCCATCTGTCCAACTGTCCAACTGTCCACTGCTTCTACAGAAGAGTTTAGAGCAGAAACCTACACTTGAGTGTGAGGACGGATCAGAAATGTCAGCCCGGCTGAGATGAGAGGCAGATGAGAAAGGTGGGAGTGGTGAGGAGGTTACGCCATGTCTTCACTTAGCAACACCCACCACCACCTGACCAGCGTCACTGCTACTGCTCCTCCTCCTCCTCCTCCTCCCTTTTTATCCCGGCCGTATCTCTCCAGGTTCAAGGTGTCCTGATTCCACTTCCACAGACGACGCGCTCTTTAATGTCATTCACTGACAACCAACACCAAACCAACTTCAAACTTACTTCCTTTCTTTCAAAACAAAATAATTCATTTGTTTTCT